CCCCACACACACACACGCACTAACAAATAAACAAAATCGTCCTGAAATGTGGTTCTAAATCGATTTGGTTAATTTGACGAGCGCCTGATTTCACCAAGATGCCACACAGTTGTTCTGACCTCTGACCTCTAACATGTGACCTCTAACCTCTGACTTCTTTAGGCCATTCCTAAAGAGGGGATAGTAACATGTTCTTGTGCACAGTAGAATTGTAAATGGGGTGATTTATCAATGTCAAGCTCATACTGTGCAGGAACAACATAGGGGGAACTGCTGCTTTTTCTGTCCTCATCCTTACTATCGTCATTTTTTCCTCTACTTCTTTTGTATGTTTGGCACTCTCTTGTGACCCGCCATTTCCGGGGTGCCTTGATAGTCGAAACAGACTTTGTGCTGTTGAGGCTAGAGAGGTGAGCAGAGTAAGTCTGATTCCCTGTTTGGACTTTTCTGTTGACATCCATCCCTTGGCGCTCATATGACCTTATGTAGTTGTGAGCGCCGTAAAAACCTTACTAAAACTAAGCGACGTAGGTGAAACTGCTGCTTTTTCTTTCCTCATCCTTACTGTCGTCGTTTTTTTTCTACGTCTTTTGTATGACCTCATGCAGTTGCGAGCGCCGTAAAAACCTTACTGAACCAACTGACCTCTGACCTCTAACCTCTGACTTCCCTCCAATGGGTGGTTGGCAGATGCTCTAGTGTGGTTTGCTCCATCTTTCCTATCAAACATCTATCGTCCTTATCTCTTCTCCTTCTTTTTTGTGTTTGTTACTCTCTTGTATCCCCTCTAATCTTCGACCCTTACATGATCTATGAGCTCTGACCTCTAACCTCTAACCTCTGACCTCTGACTTCACACCAGGTGATAGTGCCCAGTTCGAAGAACGAGCATCTGACCTCTAACCTCTGACCTCTGACCAGGTGATAGTGCCCAAGTCGAAGAACGAGCCTCTGACCTCTAACCTCTGACCTCTGACATCTGACCTCTCACCAGGTGATAGTGCCCAAGTCGAAGAACGAGCCTCTGACTTCTAACCTCTGACCTGTAACCTCTAACCTCTGACCTCTCACCATGTGATAGTGCCCAAGTCGAAGAACGAGCCTCTGACCTCTAACATCTGACCTCTAACCTCTGACCTCTCACCAGGTGATAGTGCCCAAGTCGAAGAACGAGCCTCTGGGCGTGGTGATCGTGGAGTCTGGCTGGGGCTCGATGGTGCCCACAGTGGTGTTGGCCAATATGCTGCCCACTGGACCAGCCGCGCGCTGTGGTCAGCTCAACATCGGGGACCAGATCATCTCTATCAACGGGATCAGCCTGGTGGGGCTGCCGC